CCCACAAAGACACAACGAATTGCTTTATCATCAAACTTATGACGAGTAAAAGACCGATCCTAAACAAAATGTGCAGCCAAAAACACGACGGGGGACCAAAAAAAGTGTCTGCTCAGAAAATAAGACCTGTAAAGGAGCCCTATACTGAAGAACAAGACTCGATGTACGATTGCACAAAAAGATAAAAATCAAAACAACAAAATACCAATAAAATTTTGGTACTCTCAAACCTCTAAGAATACAACGTACCATCCCTATCAAACTTATATTTTTTCTTTTAACAACTCTATTTTGCTCAGGAGTATATTGACAAGTGAACCGCTGAAGGATCCCTAAAAAGAAAGATGAGACACTAAGGCATCAAACATATATTCTTTGACATTATTCGAACAAAGAGAACGAATAATGACATCGAATTGTGTCTTAATTATCTAGAGAAATTAAGTGATGACAGGGAGTACATCAGACTTCCTATGCAAAAAAGTAGACCCAAGTACAACGGGTATGGTCATCTATAAATGTCATATAGTATCGAGCACCTGGTAGAGCAGTAACAGAAAAAGGTTTCCAAATATCAGAGTGTATTAGGTCAAATGACTTGGGTGACTAGTGCATTTAAAGAATATAACTGATCTGAATATGTTTCGATAGGGAACATATAGCACAGTCAAGTTTACCACCAACACAAGCATTGCTCAAAGTAAGAAATAACATATATAAATATTTAAAATTTGTATGTCCAAAATGGTCATGCTACAATTGAACAATTTGTGATGAAAAATCATAACGACAAATGTTGACATAAGTATATCCAATCAAGAAGTGATAGCATTCATATCACTCTGCCAAGGAGTAGTAGCAATAGCAGTAGTAACAGGTGCAACGGCCGTAGGTGGTGGTGCCTCAGTAATGGCAATAATATAGTTGCGAGAAAACGGCTTAAGTAAGCAACCCTAAGATGTCCTAGTTGACCAGAATAATCACACTGACGAGTAACTACTTATCTACGTTGATCTGGGGCACCCTGACGGCGCTAGTCCAAGCACTGTCCACCCTTAACTGAGGGTCCTGAACAAGACCTTGCAACAGCTCCAAAGGCCATTTGGTCAGCCTGAGGAGTCAAGGTCATAACTAAAAATGATGCAATACGAACACGGTGCTCATGCTGCTTAATCATCGTATACGCCCTATAAAGGGACGAAAGTCTCAGCATCGACAAGATCTGTAAACAAGGTCCCTCAAACTCATCACAAAACCCCGTAAAGAACTTATGAAACCTATGAGTATGCAAGAATGCTACTCCCTCGGGCTCTATCCTCGGAATAACAACAAGAGGACGTAGAGTCTCATACTCAAGTTAGCGCTAGATCAAATAGCCATAATAATCCTAAATCGTTATAAACTTTTTAAGGAGAAGCAAAGTCAAAAAAATTTTAAGGCATCCAATTGATGAGATATACAGTAATAAGAATTGCATCACTCCAAAAGGACTCGGGTCACCCATAATAAACATCAAGGATGGCACCACTTCAAGGAGATATCGATTCTTCCTCTTGGCTACACCGCTTTATTCAAGTATATCCACACAACTAGATTGGTAGAGAATTTCATGTTCTATAACACAAGCCTAAGACTCTCCATTAAAGTACTCAGTCCTATTATCAATTATAAGAATCTTAATTTTGGCATCAAACTGAGTATTTACCAATTTATGAAAATTCTTGAAACAAGTAAACACTTTATCCTTGCTATGCAATAAATAAACTCAGGCAGCCCGAGTGTAAAAGCCAATAAAGGTAACAAATTATTGATATCCAACAAGAGAAAAAACATGAGATGGACCCCACACATCAAAATGATTAATCATGAATGTAGCAATGCTTCTATTACTATTACTAGGATAAGGATTTCTTGTGTAGTTGGAAAATTTACAAGCATTATAAAAAAAGTTATTTTTATTACATTATTTCACCAAAAATGAGAAAAACTTCTTTAATACTCCAACTAATAGATGACCAAGTCGTCAATGCCATTGATACAATTTACTAGAAGCCTAAAATGCATGACGAAGCTTGTCCTCCAGTAGGCACAAACCACCTTGAGCTTTATCACTACCAATCATTCTCCCATTTTCCAATTCTTAAAAGGCACAATGAGAAGAGAAGATGTTACATAACAATTTAAAGACTTTGTAATACTATTGACTGAGAGTAAATTAGTAGAAAAGTCGAGGGCACAAGAACTACGACAATAGAAATGGAACAAGATGTAGAAGAAGTATCAAGTCGAGCTATCAAATATTTGAGATCATGCATCTTATCTACAGTGCAACTCGCACTATCAGTACCAGTTGATAGAGATGGACCAATGAAGGTGGAGAGAAAATCAGCAATCTCAGTCATATGAGCATGTGAACGGACCAGCCATATTACCATCACGCCCCCTAGGAGGAAGATCGTGTAGCTTCCAACAATGGCNGATGCAATACGAACACGGTGCTCATGCTGCTTAATCATCGTATACGCCCTATAAAGGGACGAAAGTCTCAGCATCGACAAGATCTGTAAACAAGGTCCCTCAAACTCATCACAAAACCCCGTAAAGAACTTATGAAACCTATGAGTATGCAAGAATGCTACTCCCTCGGGCTCTATCCTCGGAATAACAACAAGAGGACGTAGAGTCTCATACTCAAGTTAGCGCTAGATCAAATAGCCATAATAATCNCCTTTAGTATGTCTCGTCTTTCCACAATAATCATATTTTAATAGATCCCTTTCAAAACTCTCATTTTTATAAGCACCGTGAGGTTGAAAGAATCTGTTTTCTCTCTATGTAGTAGTTGCTAGAGTAGATCGATCCTGGGCAGGGTTATCAAGCACGACACTTCTCTTACTCTCCTCCTGATGAACATAAGCATATGCTTGCCTTAAAGAAGGAAAAGGATTTCTACCAAAAACACTGTATACGGATTTAATCATACTCTATATTGAGACATGAAAAAAAATCATATACTTGTTCCTTCTTTATCAATTTTTAACATTTAGCACAATCTCCATTACATTCTATTTGAAAATCTTGGTAATAATCCAACTCTTGCCATAAATTACTCAATCCTGCATAATACTCTAAAATAGTTATATCTCTCCGTTTGATTTCATGAATTTTCTTTTGGACCTCATAAATTTGGGCATTATTTCCAATCCGTGACTATGCCTAAGCCGTAGCTGACCAAATCTTATGGGTTTTCTCAAGAAGTAAAAAAGAGGGACTTATGTGAGGCTGGATCGAGTTAAGTAACCATGTCAACCAACCTTTCTTAGTACCAATAANTCCAATCCGTGACTATGCCTAAGCCGTAGCTGACCAAATCTTATGGGTTTTCTCAAGAAGTAAAATAGAGGGACTTATGTGAGGCTGGATCGAGTTAAGTAACCATGTCAACCAACCTTTCTTAGTACCAATATATTCTGTACCAACTCTCAACATACCTATTCAGCAAAAAAGGAGCCTTTTCACATAGCCTAATCATTGAATAACATTTTGGGACTAACACAACACAAAAGAAGACCAAACTAGCAACCTACAATACCACAAACCCCTCACAAAAGCCACAGACTCATCATAGCCCTCAAAATAACAAGGCAGAACAAAAGATTGAAATATTCTCATTATGAACTGAGCAGGGCTAGTGTTTTTACAAGAAATCTCTAGCCACAAGCACTTCAACGGTCTTCTATGGTTATACGGGTATCCAAAGTACAAACGAGATGGATATTTATTGTCCCAACCATTACTTTGAATCCCAAAACCAGCAAGGCAAAAAAAGCAGCACTACCAAGACAAAAAAATGCATTGCCAAGACCCATTATGCCCAAAAACTCACACAAAAGCAATAGGCTTTGCACAGAACTCGATCAGAGTTGTTATAGGTCCTAGTAAGCACCCAAAGGCATATTAGAACAACTAGAATTGTCACAATCTCAACCAAACAGTAAATCGTGAAATATGAACCATAAATTCCAGAAAACATTCAAAATTTAAAAAACCATATCAAATGACTTCGAAAAATTCAAAAAAAATCACCATAATACTCAGGGTGAAAAATCGAGCCCACCCAAGTCGAGCTTGAGCAATTTCGTCCCTAACGTTAGTGATATCATCATAGAATGGAGATGAGGCAAGAGAAAAGAAGAGAGAATAGAATGGTTATAATTAGAGTTAAGGATAATGAGAGTTAACTAATTTCTCCTCCCATCACCCATATATATTAAGNTAGTGATATCATCATAGAATGGAGATGAGGCAAGAGAAAAGAAGAGAGAATAGAATGATTATAATTAGAGTTAAGGATAATGAGAGTTAACTAATTTCTACTCCCATCACCCATATATATTAAGTCATAATAAGGTACAAATTACAAGAATACCCTTCGTTAAATATCCTGACAGTCTACTTAACCTCAATTCAACAAAAAGTGAAAAAACCTAAAATCATCTTCCTGTATAAATCTTAAGCTTAAAATTTCATATTTGCACCACATTTGTATCAAATATAGTCTACAAATAACCCTCCTGCACTTGCAAATGTGTGTCCCGTACTTCTTGTAACCGGTAATTATATGATTATAAATGTGTTGATTTCAAATTTAAACAATAAGATCCAGCTATAGCTACAGCCAAGGGCATAATTTGGGTAGAAAACTTAACTATAGTTTCAAATACTTGGACTATCTTCCAAGGAAAAAAAATTCCCATATAATTTTTCATAGTAAAACACACTTCTGAATGAGGGTGGGCCTTGGCGCAGCACTAATGTTACTCCATTATGACCTAAATATCAAGGGTTCGAGTTGTAGAAATAGTTAGTCTACTTCAATTTGACCCTCTCTAAAACTCGCAACAGCGGAAGCCTCGTATACTGGGCGCCCCCTTTTTTAACATTAAAACATACATGAATATATTGACACAAATTGGAATATGCTCTATTTTCTCAAAATGTCATATCTGCATATCCACACATAGAATGCAATACAATTGTACTAGGGACATACCACTAATGGAGACTTCAATCCAGCCTTTTTCCCTTGATTGATCCTTAAGTGAATCCATTACTTCCAAGGATTCTAGAGCTCTTCCACCACATGTGAAATGCTGAATGACCGGTAGCAGGCCTTATGAAGAATAGTAATGCATGTTAGAGATCATTAATGCTCACAATGGCAAAACTGAAATTGTTGAGTACATAACAATGTTGTAGTGCTAACGAAGCATGCATACTATGCAAGGATTGTTTTTGTTTGCTTTCTTTTTGCCCCTTTTTTCTAAAGAGAAGAACCAAAAGCAACTCCCGATATGACACTCGTGGGAACAATGACTAGTTTCCTTTCGCTTTTGAGTTTCTTTTTAGAATCTTTAGTGGGGTGGGTAGATAAGAAACCTCAACAAAAGCACCCGCTGATTCTCACATTGTTCAGGTTATACTGCATAGCTGAACTAGTGCAATGACCTAAAAGTGTAAGCAACAGGAGGCATGTCTTTGTGGCCCCTACATAATCACCATCACACCAACAATTCCATAATTTGATCATCGAAGTTGCCAAAAACATGCATTTTGTGCCAAATGTTTCATCACAACATGCAAGTCATAGCAAATACAACCATTCTGTCACTGTAAGCCAAATATAATAAATGATTGAATCAAAAACTGTAACTAAATCCAAGGACAGGAAAACAATTAAGCAGACAAAGTCCTTATATATTCTCCTCTGTTCTGTTACATGCAATGAGAAACATTCACTTATTTTGAATTAAACATGTACAAAAGACGCATATTGAGACAGTATACATTTCGCTTTCGTTGTCTTCCTGATTATTTGCTGCTTGTGCGACTTGTTTATGCCTAAACTATCAGATAGAGCACTCAGATGTTAGGAAACACAAATGCTAATAATGCTTATAGTATTGCTCAATAACTATTTGCACTGCAACACTATTGCCTACATTTTTATCAGCCTGTCAATTCTTCCATGTAATTACCAGTTTTTTTATCCATCAGTCACTGTCAAGAAACAAAGAAATTGAGAAACCCAAAAACATGACATTAGAGCCTACCCCTCGATCTTTTCTCAGCAGGGAGTTGTAAGTAGTATAAGCAGGCCACTTCAACCTTCATATGCTCTATGCTGAGCTTATCACCAACCATACATGAGTGCATTTCAACATGTACAAAGTCTTCATCAATTCTGAAGATTATATGTTGCTGCAACACCACAACCGGTAACAAATGTCATCAAATATGAAGGAAATGGTCTCAACATAACTGAAACAACATTGTATAATGAAGATAATAAGATAAGCATGCACAAGCAGTTCCACCTGTGTGACAAAGAGCACATAGGCTCTCCCACACACACTGTCAATCCCTGTCTTTCATACCTCTTGCATTTGGGGTACTGTGTAATAATAGGATCAATGCTGATGCATCTCCAGACCATATACCTGCTGTCAAAGTGTCGATCCCGTGATTTGTTGTGTTTTGGCAATCAATGGATCTATAGCAAGTATAGGGGCAAGACCACAAATATGACATGCACCCAGGGGCGGGGTCAGAATTTTTCCTTAATGGGGATACATGAAACTCGCTAATAAAATAAAATCATAATTCTACCCTTAATTGTCGCAAAAATATCAATTCCAAATAAGTTTTATTACTACAGGATCATTGAAGAAGGCTAATTAAAGACAAAACTCGCATATATGAGCGATGAACAAAAAGAGCCCACATAGAAAGCTTGCATCAAAAATCTCGTGTAGTCCTGTAATTACAATCAAATTATCCAAGAGATCGAAAAAACTTTTAAACCAAAAAAGGTAATCAAGAAATGAATTTGAGTCCATACATAAGGAGTTCCTAGAAGTCAGTTAAAACAATTTTATCCACCACAAGTAAATTTTGAAATTCAATCATAGAAACCTGATTTCATATTGAAGAGGGTCGTGAGATCAAGTTATATAAGGGAAGACATGTATATCTTTTAATTTATGAGAGAATCCCACTTATTTTCTAAAATTAAACCACTCCTAAATTTTTTATATTCTTAGTGGGGGCAAATTCTGAAAAACCAAAAATTTCCCAAAACAAAATCAAATACACACCAATTTTTTAAAAATTATAGTGCCCCCGCTGCCCCAATGTAAACCTGCCCTCCCTGCATGCACCCTCGATTGGAGCAAATGTATGAAAATAATAGCTTTAAAATTATAACCTTGAGACAAAACGTCAATGATAAACTTAATTGTATGAATGCATCTCGAAATAAGCCTACTCACACAGTGTTCAACATGACAAGCATGCAAACTGAAGTTGGAAGTATTTTTTTTATGTAACAGGTTTCCAGAGACGTCAGCATCAGATTTGGAGCCATTTGCACCAGTATTGGAAGTATCCACAACTTCATTGGTGTTTGAAAATCTGAAATATTTTCCATCATGAACATCTAGGTTAGAAGAACTCCTATTTTTGTAGGAGCAGATGCTTTCATCCTTATTGGGCGTACAACCACTGATAGCACATTTTGAGGCAACTGGTGAAACATCCTGCCACAATGAAAGAATCAAAATGTCAGCAAATTTTGCTACCCAAATAAAAATGAAAAATAAAAACAGCCACGGATGATTGATCCAAAGACTTAAAGACCTGGAATTCAAGAGCAGGACTACTTGGATCATTTCTGCTCAGAACTGCAATCCAGGAATGAAGCAAGTTACTCCTCTGTTTCTTTACTTATATATAAACACTAAGCTAAACTAAGTTAGCAATTGACTCACATTCACCGGAGGTGGCAACATCTTCAGATGGACGTGCACGAACTCTTACTCTAGAGCACGGTACCTCAACGTGTGTTTCACCTTCGTCATCAGAAAGGATTAAGCGGACACGTTTTCTACCGACAGCTGTCTGACTACCAGTAGATCTAGACATGCTTCTTGACGAAGCTTCGGTTCCCGTGGTAGAAATAATAGGTTTTGCTACGCCGGCAGTTTTTGGTAACACTGAGTTTTTACCACGGAGAAGTGAAACCAAGGGTACATCATCCTTTGACTCTTCTTCCCTGACGTAAGATTTTGGTCTGATGGAAAGGGGTTTACTTACTACTGGTGAACAGCTCACATCAGACCTACCATTTGACAATTGATTGTCTCCCTCTGTTTCCGTTTCAGAGCAGCAGTCAGACACCATACCTTGTACATCGGGCTCTCTTGTTTTTGCCAGCTTCAATTTGTCTATCAGCGATTGCAACCTCCTACGTAGGAGCATCTTTATTTCAGCAAAATAAAACGAACTTGGTTTGAACAACAGAAATAATTTCAATGAATAGTTCTACACCTGGAAAGAAAATTAATCTATCCCAAAATGACAAAAGTTCAACTTGTGATATAGAAACCCCTCAGAATGCAAAAATCCAAATACTATTTTCTTTCTAAACAGCTATTCCGTGTTGACCAAAATTTGAAAACTTTCAGAAATGGTTAATATAGCTTGCATTACCTGGCTTCTTCAACATTGTCAAACCTTATCATATGACTGTAATGCATATTCTCCAGTGCAGAAAGCTGGACAGAAGGAAGGTTTGCTTGAAGGGCAATCCTGTGAGATAATAATATATCATGATAAACATCACAATGTGGAAGCAATCATTCATGAAAAGGAATACCATCTTAATGAATCAAAATTTACATGCTAATATTACAATTTGTTGGCCTATATCATAAATTTAGCTTGGGAGTTCGCATTTACTTTTCATTATTTACAGGTCTTGCAGCAATTTCCATTGAATGCAAAAATACTGGGATATTTAATGCTAGGTTTCCAAGTGAAATCCACCCCAAGAAAGGAGAAACTTGCCTGTAACCCTCCTCAAATGCATCCAAAGCACCTGCCCAATTACCATCAGAGTCCAAAACATCTCCAATATTGATCTTTCCTAATGCTTGCCCCTGAAATCACTACCATTACTTTCCAAGAAAAAAAAAATCACTGTCTTTTCATAAGATGAACNTAATGCTTGCCCCTGAAATCACTACCATTACTTTCCAAGAAAAAAAAAATCACTGTCATTTCATAAGATGAACCCACCACCAACTACAAAGTATAATGCTGCATATTCAGGTGCAAAACAGCCATGCATAAATTCCATAAATCAAGTTTACAGGAAAAAAAAATGATTTTTTTGCTATCCCATCTCTATTCCAGGCAATTTAAAGAAATGTGAATTCTCTAATTAACATAGTCGATTGTGGACTCCTAATTCTCCAAGAACATTCCTAGTCTAGTTATATTTTAATTTCCCACCAATTACAGCGGGTGTAGTACAATATATCTTGGTTAATTGTAGAACAAACACTGGACATACCTCCAAGTTGCCAATTGACTTGTATGTCTCCCAACTTTTTGTGTACCATTTAAGGGCTTTGTTGAAGTTTCTGAGCTTCTGGTATGATTCTCCGATGACTAGAAATGAATCACTCAGCTTTTCTTTGTCACAGAGTTCACTTGCTATTCTTTTCTTCCTTTTGGCAAATTCTCGATGCTAAACAAAAGATTTCAGGCAGTAAATCACATGACTGCAATGTATTAAAAATAAAAAAGCAAAGTAAAAGCTAGGACTTTCCGTCATGTAATCTCCCAACATCACCTTTGACATCAAGGGCAGAGCCAGCCTCTGCCCAGGATGGTCACCGGCCCACCCTCAAAATTGTTTGATGAAGATTGTATATATGTATATTTTAATGTACATATCCAAAAAAAAAAAAAAAATAGNCAGGATGGTCACCGGCCCACCCTCAAAATTGTTTGATGAAGATTGTATATATGTATATTTTAATGTACATATCCAAAAAAAAAAATATTTTGTAGTGTCCACCCTCTAACTTTCATAGAGACCCTTATCTAAATGGTTATGGAGATGTTACGCACACGCTTCAAATAAATCCGAATAATGTTTTGATACTTTGGAGGTTATTTTTAAATATCTACGTCGAATTAGATTATTCTCACCAGAAGAAATTTAATGAGGGATCAAGAGTGTTAGAGAAAAATCAAGAGAAAAAAAGACACGATGGTCGATNTTGTTTCATATCTGGTTTCATCTTGTGTTCACATCGAGTCCTAATCAATGCTAACCCGACCTATTTAATAAATCTGGGTTGACCCTAATCCAATTTGCTTATTATTCGTGCCATACAATGGTCAACAAGATCAAACNATCTTACTACTTTTTGGTGACTTGTGTGACCATCTGACCAGCTGTAACTTCTTTTTTCCTGCAATCTGGTATGTCAGCTACGACACTTCCTGTTATTTTATGATCACTCTATGTCCTAATAACCATGACTTTTTTTGTGTGTTTAGCTTGCTTTCTTGCTTCAACTGCAACNTTTGGAGGTTATTTTTAAATATCTACCTCGAATTAGATTATTCTCACCAGAAGAAATTTAATGAGGGATCAAGAGTGTTAGAGAAAAATCAAGAGAAAAAAAGACACGATGGTCGATCTTACTACTTTTTGGTGACTTGTGTGACCATCTGACCAGCTGTAACTTCTTTTTTTCCTGCAATCTGGTATGTCAGCTACAACACTTCCTGTTATTTTATGATCACTCTATGTCCTGATAACCATGACTTTTTTTGTGTGTTTAGCTTGCTTTCTTGCTTCAACTGCAACTGGCTCACTAAACATATCAAGGATTTCTGCAATTGGCCTTGATTAGCATGTTTGCAATTTTTTTGGTGTTCTTAATATCAAGGTGAAATTGCTTAAAAGTGTGGTCTACAATTTTATTCTATTTTCCTACAATTCTTTTTGCTGGTATCTTTCTACAATTGATCTTTATTTAGATGAATATAAAATTATAAATATATGTTTACTTTTACTGATACAAAAATTAATTAAAGCTTATAGTTAAGGCCCCCTCCCCCTCATAAAAATTTCTGGCTTCACCACTATTGACATAGACAACTGAAAGGTGAACAATAGGAGGGATCACTTTAATCAGTTTACAAAGCTCAAGAGATAGCCATAAACACTGCACCTGTTTGCAAACCAATTGCCTAAATTGCTTGTAATTTGCATCATGGACATTTATATCACACACTACAGGGCAATCACTGAACAAGGGAAGGGGATCCTTTGAAGGTCTACAACTAATAGTGTTTTTAATTAGAGAAACTGACACAGTCATTGGTTAGGCTCCTCTCCACCAATGTCCAGTGCATAATTATCTTATGAGAGTCAAATACTCAGATTCTAGCCAGATGATCCATCACATCTGCTGGGCTCACCTCCAAAATTAGTGAAGTTCATTTGAGTGGGTCTAGGCTTCTAGCCATCAAATCTAGTAGAGTACTCCAAACATGAAACTTGTGAATATCACTACTGGCTCATGCACATACAGCTGAGGGTGTTCAAAGGACAACATTTGACGGTTAGAACTCACAGGACATATTGGGCTTGTGCATCGAACTGTGATTTCCACTTACAACTAAAGTAAAACAAATTTCTGTTCATGGTAAAAGGGGTGCTAGTAGAGGAGATAACTTTCAGGTCGTAAAAGCATGGGCAAAACTTTAGGGAAGCCAATCAAGTTGTTTCATATCTGGTTTCATCTTGTGTTCACATCGAGTCCTAATCAATGCTAACCCAACCTATTTAATAAATCTGGGTTGACCCTAATCCAATTTGCTTATTATTCGTGCCATACAATGGTCAACAAGATCAAACGAGAACCATGGCAAGGATCCCCTCCTTTCACAACAAGATCAATCAAACAGTCCTCCAACAAACAAAAGTTCTACTCGATCCAGGTGCTAGTAAAAACAAGTAAATGCTTAATTTATACATCACCAAGCCAAAAAATGTTAAAAAAAAACCTTTTCTGCGTAGATACTAATTAAACATGTTATTGTATCAAATGGAGTTATTTGTATTCGACACCAACCCGAACTATTTATAATTCATGTCAACATATCGTGTCATTTTTTGTCGTGCCAAGTAATAGTCGATCCTAATCCCCTAAGACGTGTCCTCGACAACCTAGCGGTTCTTTGGTCTCCGCTTTTGGGGGCGAGAATGCTTGGTTGCTAGGGTTTCCTTTTTCTCAACCAATTCAGTTGTGTCAAACCTGAGATTGGTCTAACATTTTGTTATGAGCTAGCTTGACAAATATGGATTGAAGGTAAAAAAGATTTGAGTTCAAGTGGCACACGACCTTCGATCGACCATAGGGTATATTCTACCTTTACCGAATTCATTCTATTGTAGTGTAACATAAAAAGCTCCTTCTCATGTTATATTTATTTGGTTTGGAAGTTTCAGAATGTTGTCATGTGATCTAAAGAGTCAGAGTCAATGATCCAGGAACTGCGGATGGAAGACAGTAAACAAGTGGAAGAGGTGCCTAACTAGGCAAAAGTAGCAGTGGAGGAAGATGGAATAACCTGTAGCCGAGACACGAACTGAACATANTGCCTAACTAGGCAAAAGTAGCAGTGGAGGAAGATGGAATAACCTGTAGCCGAGACATGAACTGAACATACTCCTCTCGTGTGATAGTAACCAACTAAGAGTCAGGTGGAGCCAACCGAGATATGGGAGCAAGTAGAGAGGAAGTATCATCCTAATAGGAGACCTGATTGGCAGCACCAAATGGTTTTCCATGTAAATCCCAACAATAATCAACAGTAGAACCTCCAAGACCATAATGAGTGTAGGAACGAGGACCTCCGTGATTTCTTTGATAATATTCTATTGTTGTGGCTTCTTGNGGAGCCAACCGAGATATGGGAGCAAGTAGAGAGGAAGTATCATCCTAATAGGAGACCAGATTGGCAACACCAAATGGTTTTCCATGTAAATCCCAACAATAATCAACAGTAGAACCTCCAAGACCATAATGAGTGTAGGAACGAGGACCTCCGCGATTTCTTTGATAATATTCTATTGTTGTGGCTTCTTCTTGTTCATACTAAACTTTTCTAACACTCAGAGTAGCCCAATAGACAAGGCCTATTTTCTTCTCTTAATCTCGCCACCCCCTTGGTGGCCAATGCTGGCATTTCCTATGATAAAACAATATGGTACATGGAATGTTCCGTATCTCACCTTATAGGTGCTAAAAAAAATATAAGCTTTGCAAAGAAACGAGTATCCCCGTGTTGACTTCAAGTCATGTCCAAAATTTTCACCCCTATGCAAAATAGGGCAAATAAAGAACTAAATCTCTTGTGGGGTACAAATATTCTATAAGTCAAAGCTTCAAAATTTAGGATTCTTTGAAGACTAGCATTAGAAATCATTTGTGTTGATGGGAAAAACAGCAGTTCAATAAAATAATCAAATATGAAATATGAAGTTTATAATAAAACATACTTTCAGCCATGCGAAGATTAGGCTTGATTTTTCAATTAGACGATCAAGAGATGCATTCTGCTGCAGAAGACACTTCCTTTCAGCTGCTGTACGTCTAGCCATTTCCATATTTCTTGTCAGCTTCTTGAAATTCTGCTCTTCTTTCTTCAATTCATCCATTACCTTAATGGCTTCTTTTACAGTTCCAATATTCTGATCAATTTGACTGACCAATGCGTCCTCATCTTCCATGGATTTAGCAAGATCAATTGCCTTTTGATAGCAAAGAATAGCCTCGTCATACTTTTGAACTCTGTAATGCAATTCACCAAGATTGATGTAGCCCTTTGCCTCTCCTTGGCAATGCCCAATTCTCTTGCAAATTATTATGTCCTTCTCGATGTGCTCTCGAGCTTTATCCCACTTTCTGAGCTCCATGTAAACGTTTCCAAGGTTGTGATGGAGCCTACTACGCCCATCATCATCCTCAATCACCTCTTCTTCATCACATATCTTTAATCCTTTGCTAAGAATTTTCTGGGCTTCTTCCAAATTATCAAGATCGATTTCAAGCATTCCAATGTTATTATGGGCATCAATGCATTCCTTTACGAAGTAAGAATTGTTAGATGGTGGATTCTGCTTCAGTGTTTGAGCAAGTTTCATGGCAGATTTGAAATACTTTTTGGCATTCCGAACGGAATAATGGTCATCGTTGGATCTTAGGAACATTTCATGGTAAGTTCGACCAAGTTGGGTACTGGCTCTTTGTTGCTCAATGAGATCGTTCGCATCCTTGGCAAGCTCTAAATGCTTTTTCTGACCAAAAAACAAAACAGTGGGAAATCATAAAGTTGATGAACAGATCTGCAGAAGCTGGAAACCTAAAGAAAATTGCATATACTAAAAGACTGTCAAATAATAAAAGACTGCCAAGTAATATTGTTTGCAAATTAGAATTTAAAAGGCTCTAAGTAAAACAATTATGAAGTATCCAAAAGTCTTTCAGGAAAAAAAAGTGAAAATAGCTTGTGAGTCTGCAACCAAGCAAACCCTTACTACATAAGGTTGGACATGATTCCCAAAACAAATAAAAGGTGATCTCATGTACTGATTGTTTTTAATATCAAGAAGCAGCAAGCACGATATATTGGATATCAAAGAACTTCAAAATAACCACCTATTTGGAGTCACAAAGAAGAAACCAATTCTCCTATCAAATTACATTTTGCAACCCATGTTTTTTCACTACATGGTATACATCATTCCGTTACACTAAATTGACGATTCAAAACAATTGTTTGCATGACAATTTCCCATGCAATGAATTCTAAACGTAAGTAGCTACGTTTCTTACTTTGNCCTATCAAATTACATTTTGCAACCCATGTTTTTTCACTACATGGTATACATCATTCCATTACACTAAATTGACGATTCAAAACAATTGTCTGCATGACAATTTCCCATGCAATGAATTCTAAACGTAAGTAGCTACGTTTCTTACTTTGGCGGCCAAGAAAATGAAGGAAAACAATGAAACTGTACATGAGTGAATCTGTTTTTTGTTTTAATGACCAGTGCAGAAGCAAACCGTTGATTTTCATTTATTGTCTATTCTTTCCATTTTTCTCAGCATTCAAACAGTATAAGATTAGAATAGAAACAGCAGAAACAATAAATACATACCCATTTCTGTTTCTCAAACATACGATTGAGAACACTCCGAATTGAATTGGGTTTTAACCATCTTATCTACCAACTCCTCATCTCCTAAACAGTGTCGTAACAAAAAAATTAAAACCCATCTAGTACCTGATAAATTAGGGCATCCTTGAAGTACTCAAGCCGTAAATACACTTCCCCAAGGCACTGACAAGTCGGAAGAAGCTGTTTCTCCGGCAGATACTTCACCGAAACCTCGTAATCGATTCGAAGCCACTTCAAAGCTTCTACATACTCTCCTCTGTTCTTCAGAATGTCGCCTATCACATTCGCCCACCGGGCCTCCTCTTGCCGATTCCCTTCGGCCTCCGCACTCCGGTACGCCCTCTTGGCGGCACTGAGCTGCGCGTCGCCGCCCCTCGCCATCTCTACGAGTGTTGGTGATTTGACCTTTTGGGGGGTTTGGATTTTGGAGAGTGTTGTCGTTTGTGTTTTATTTTTGTGTGGCGGTTTTGTGTTTGTTTGGAAATGTGTTGAAGTACTACTGGTTCCCGCCAAATTTTTTATGCGGGTTTGGACTTTGGAGTTTCTTTTGACCCGTTGTGTATGGTTGGTAGATCGGGTATGGGTTTGAAGTAATAAGGATTCGGAGCAAATAACACTTGGTGCCAAAAAATAAAAAATAAATATTTTTAAGTTTACACCCTACATTATCTATTTATCTACATCTATATTTATATTTATATTTATATTTATACTATTTATAAATGTCAACATCTGTGATAAATTTTTGATTACTTAATTTATTTCTAATTATTATTGTAAAGTCAGTTATACCCACATATTTATTTTATCCAATTTTTATTTTTTATCCATATTTAACTTTTAAGTTCTTTTTGGCTTTTTTATAAGTAGAATTTGCCTGCTAAATTCTTTTGGATTCAATTATTAATAGTTTACCTACATACAACCTTTTATATTCTATTATTATTATATACATGTAGTTGTCAAATTAACTTTTATAGTCAAATATATATCATATTTAATTTTTTTTATATGCAACAATACCATAATAATATAAAGAAACAGTAGTTTACAATTTAATTAACCTCTTTGGCAAAAAAATATAATAAATAGTTAATATATTTATATGTACAAATAAATAACAATCTTACAATGAAGCTTCACTACAAATAAAAGAGGAAATGTTTAAAGTAGCCAGCAAAAAAACTAAAAAAATGACAGATTAGGTACTCAAAGGTAGATAAAATAAATCAATAAGTAAATTAAAAATTAAGTATTTGAAAAATAATTTATTATTCAATAAAATTATAAATACAATTTAATTTTTTTATAAAAAATTATTATTTAAATATGTTCAAGTGCAACGCACATCATGCATTGCTAGTATTATTATAAATAAGGATGACAATCAAATTATATTGTTTATATTTGAATGGTATTATTTTAGTTTGTATCAACTACTGCGATTTAGATTAACTAGTTATTACCTGCACCTGAAGATACAAATTAATAAAAAATGATAAATAATAAAACATATTTGTATTCATATTCAAAATCAAATCACAATTATAAAGAATACATAAAGAAATTAAGCATCGTTTTGTAGTAAGGGTAAGAAGTGGTAGACGGTAGTAGTGGTGGTAGAAAACGGTGAAGGTTTATGGTGGGTGGCAATGATCGTGGTAACGACGATGATGGCGGTGGTGGTGGTGGTGTGGTCGTGGTCGTGGCGATGGTGGCGACGACGACGACGGCTATGGTGGTGGTGACATTGATGGTAGTGGCGGCGGTGGTGATAGAGGCAGTGATGGAACAGTTTCAAACACATTTTTTTATAAAAATATTTATGAGAACTAATTTTTTAAAATACTTTTAAAAAGTTACTCCAAACACACCCTTAGAGGTCTATAGTTCCTATTAAATTTAGAGTATTAATATTAACCGTTATATTAACTTTAAAGTAAAATTTAAAGCAATTTCAACTACAAATAACAAAAGTCATTTTGTTTATCTTTTGAGATTTGAATTATAAACTATTTTATTATAGATAAGAATAATCTATATACTAGAACTCTACAATTAAGATTCTCTTCCCCTTCAACCAAAATAATCACGTAAACGTTTTATATTAACTTAAAATCTGGTTGGTTCAAATGATAGGAGAACTGAGTTAAAAATATTTAATTATATGAAAATTCATAAAATTCTAGTTTAAGAACTAAAAATAATAAAAAAAATTTACATTTTCTTCTTGTTATAGTAGTTATTCAGGTGAAAATAAAGTTTATTCCTTTTTAATGCTATCGTAATCCCTTTTTAAATTTGTGTTAGTAATTCAAGTTATTTTTAAGTTCACATGAAAAAATTAATTTACCTTAATAGTCTGTTTGGTAGGGAGAATGAAAAGTAGGATATATTTTCTATCATTCAAGGAAGAAAAGTATGAATGATATATTTTTCTTCCTTTGTGTTCAGTTGGATGGATGAAAAATAAAAATGACTAATTTTTGTTTTAATTTTTTTTTTATGGCTAAGATTAAGGGTGACAATCGAGTCGTATCGTATTAGATTTGTGTTGAATCATAAAATTATGAGTCTTTTATATTTCTTGTGTGATTGTCAAGTCATTTTCAAGTTCATGTCGAATTATAATCAAGTTGATGTCATAAAATTCGCGTCGAATTCAAGTCGTGTTATCGTGTTGAGTCGAAAATTTTTATCCCTAGTTAAAATGAATAAAATATTTTTTTTAATTTAAAATTTTTAATTTAATTTATTTTTTATATACATATTTTATCATTGTATTTTTATATGAAATTAATATATACATAATATATAGACAAATAAGATACATATCAACACAAATAATTAACTTTTTATCCACTTTATTTCTGATTTTAGAGGGATTAATTTTTGTGAATTGAAAAGAAAGTTAATTCATCCATTTGTTCATCCTTCCTATTTTCTTTCCTTATCAAACATGATGTTTTATTTATCTTCTAATTTTTCATTTTTCTATTTTTCTATCATACCAAACAGAGGATAACTTTCTAATTTGTATCGGATTCATATAGTAATTATATGTCATTCGATAATTGTCATTTGTCACCTTGACTACGGAAAAATCAACAAAAGCGGAGACGAGGGACGGTGTGTCAAAACAAAAGGCGCACTATAAAAACAACAAAACCAAATAAGACTACTCCACAAGTCCTACGGCAATTACTTGGCTTGAAGAAGTATAGGTATCCATCAATGCAGTGGATCAAACTCGTGTTCTTTTTTATTTATTTATTCTTTTATTGATACGGAGTGATAGAGCAACGATATTAATTTGAAGCTCTACATGAAGACGGAGGATGGACAACAAAAACATAGGATGCTTATTCCTTTACCAACAATAATTAGAACAATATTCCGTATATTTCATAACATAGTGAGCAATATGGTAATCCGTGCTCACTTGAACCTTCTTTTTTTTTTTTTTTTTATTTTATTGAAAACATGAAAATAAAAAATTATGTTTGGTAACCACTTCAAGTTATATACCAATTATTAACTTTATATTATTTCCTATTATAACCTACAACTCAAAATTCCTTATCCCAATGTATCCACTAACGCAAGACATAAATCATTAAACATAGCAAAACATACCATTGTTCAACATTATACCAAATATAAACATTAGCAAGTCATTATCACATAACTAAAATTTTAATAATCTATATCTATATACTACTATAAAATAATCTTAGTAAAAGAACTAATATCTCTTATATCCTACCCTTTCATATTCTTCTCTTTAATTTCCCTTTAATATTAATTTCAAATTAAATTCCTATATATCTATATTAATCTAAAATATCAATTAATCTCAAAACTTGTATTATTCTTTTTTATCCTTTAATAAGTTAATTATAGCCTTGTAATCCAGGCAAACTAATTAGGTTATTAAATTTACTACGTTAAAGACCAAAAAATACTATTATGTTAAACTCAACAACCCTTCATCTCTTTGTCTTTGTCAGTTGAAGTTCTTCCCCTTTGTTTGTTGCCTAACCTCTCTCACTTGTATTAGTGGCTCTACATATTTGTGAAATTAATGGCAACATCAGTTGAATCCGAATCAATGCGACCCTATGAATTTTGAAAATAAATATTTAATCGTTTATTGTTTATATGGTATCTTCTATATCCTCAGCAGACAATAAGCCGTAAAAAATCGCTCGCCGGTCATCAAAGCAAAGAGGCCTTAAAATTTCCCAAATTTAGACTCTTGCTTCTGTTGTTTTCGTTGTAAAACTTTTGCTGCTTCCAATTTGCCCGTTTCATACATCCATTTCCCCCACATCCCAGTCGGTGTAATTCCACTTCAAAGTGCATGTATCAGTTGTTATTGCATATCTAGGTAGGTAGTCTTTTTCCTTATGGTATTTATATTTTCTTATTAAATTTATATTGATTCATTTGTTCTATTAAAGTTCAAAAGTTTTTTAGTTGAGAGATCACGACGTGGAGAAGTCCTAACTTCTGTTTGTAATTCATGGTTTTAGGTGTATTTTTATGTCGCTTATTTATGATTTATTTACTAATTTTCACTGAGCTAATGATTCTTGGATATGAGACTAAAAAATTCTTCAAACTTTGAGTTGTTGGATTTTTAATGTAGCAATTGATAGCTTATGCTTCAACTATGGGCACTCTGCTAGGCATATGAGATAGGACAGCTAAATTTGGATAGAATCTTAGTTGGGTTCCTTTTGGTAAAGGTTGAATTTTGACATAATACCATTTGAAACTAATTGTCTGGAGTGTTCGTTCTATTTTATAGGCTCACACTTACAAACATCTACTTATTTAATGGGGCTGAATCTTTTTTCTTTTTTCTTTTTCTTTTTTGTATTTGTATTTGTATTTGTATTGAATCTGAAGGTAGTGATTGGAAAGTCTAGATGCAGAGATACATTTTTAATGGGGTTGGAAGTCCAGCAAGATTGGTTTTACTCTTCATGTCATACATGTCTTAGGAGCAATATTTAATATTCTTACTATCTTCTGATCAACATCGTTACTAGAAACTTTCACATTGTTGTGATGTTATTTCCCGAGCTTTATTTATTCATATTTTCTTGTTTTTTGGGGCAGATGCTAATAAATTTGAGAAGGTTTGCTTCACATAAATTAGAAACCCATCCCTCTTTCAAATTCCCAATAAAAACAAAAATGAAAAAGGAATTGTAGACATTCTAACCATGTTTCCTACTATTTTGTAGGATCTTCTTATATGAAATCACAAGATGCTTCAAGTGCCTAAATGAAATATAACAAAATGGGCACTCACACTACTCCCTTTTCTCTGATAACTGTAAAAGGAGCAGCGCATGCTTGCTCAACCTTCA